TAGTCAGTGCTAACCAGAGCTGTGAAAAGATTACACAGATTATATGTTTGTTTCAGGTAATATGCCTGAAAAAAATAGGATAGGTTGGTAGGCAAATAATTTTATTTTAATGTTAATTTTTTATTTTCGTGAATTAATAATATGTTTTATTTCAAATTTTTCAATGTTTTTCCACCCATTACAATGGCTATTAATTTGTCAAGAATAAGGTCAGACTCCCAGAACAGGAAGAAAATACATTTTAATGAGTGGCAGTGAGCTTTGCCTGGGTAATAAATTAATCTTAGATACAATTTGCAAGTAGGTGATAAAATATCTAGGGGTGGCAGTAAAATATAGGGAAGGTCGGGATACCTGCGAGTTACAAGAAAGTTGGATTGAGCACAGAATGCATCCTGGAGCATGAGAACAGCTTTATGAATAAGGGCCCAGATTTTGTGAAAAGTTTCACTGTATAATTATGTATTTACCTCCACACTGGTAGGACAGCACTCTACAGCTCGACTCAACATAATCCGCGCATCCACTTCATCCTCAAGCTCCACGGCCATCTTCCACAGTTTGACTGAGTTTGGGATGTGCTCAAGCGCTGAGGCGAGATACAAGCATAGACATGTATAATTCACAACTTATCAATGGAGAAATTCCTTAAGTTTATGTTTGAAATGTTATTTTATTGTTCACTTCTTTCCTCTAAAGAACTTCAGTGAACAGTTCTTAATGTTTGATTGGCTTAAAAATCAACACAAATCTCAAAATTGATACCTAAAATCATAGGTAAAACTGTTTATTTGGGTTTAAATCTGATTATGTGAATGACCCCAAAAATAAACTGGTAGCTTTCGTCCTCTTTAGCACTAAGCACTACAGGTATAACTGTGTCACTTTTGTGAAGATGAGGTTGATCAGAGCAGAAACCAAATTAATGACAAATGGACAAGATGACACCACGTACAGTACCCTAAAATCTTGACAAGAGGCCCACTGGGCCTGCATTGCTCACCTGGTATTTATCTCACAATTGTAACCTTAAAAGTGGACTAAAATGAAGCTACAGGCAAAATACAGTGTCTTGACTCAAAGTCATTCAAATAATTTTAACACATTTGACCCCTGTAACCTTGAGAGTCAAACAAGGACATTAAGTTGAACAAACTTTATATCTTCATCCAAGAATGCCACTTGCCAAATATGACCACCCTAGACCTTTTGGTTATTCAGAAGAATTCATTTAAAGATTTTATAAGACAATTGACCCCTGTGACCTTCAATATAGATGAAGTTTCTTCATTTGAACAAACTTGGTAGCCCTTCATCCCAGCATGCTTAAAAACTAAATATCATCCTGGTGCTTTTGGTTATTCAAAAGAAGTTGTTTAAAGGTTTAGTAAGACAATTGACCCCTTTGACCTTGAATATGAGCGTAGGTCATTCATTGGAACAAAGTTGATAGCCCTCCATCCCAGGATGCTACTGACTGCATATGCAGAAGAAATTATTTAAAAGTTATTTAAGACAACTGACCCCTGTGACTGTGAATATTGGTGAAGGTCATTCATTTTAACAAATTTGATAGCCCTTCTTCCAAGCATGCTTCTCGCCAAATATCATCACCCTATCTAAACCTTTTGGTTATTTAGAAGAAGTCATTTAAAGATTTTAACAAATTTGACCCTTGTGACCTTGAATAAGGATTAAGGTCATTCATTTGAACCACTTCTGGTATCCCTTTATCACAGTAAGCTTCTGGCCAAATATCATCACCTAAGGCATATTGGTTATTCAGAAGAAGTCGTTTAAAGGTAATTCTTGACACCGGACGACAGACGCCGACCCTAGGACTATTTGCAGTCAAACATATCTTCAAAAAGGAGCCATCTTTGAGCATAGGCCAGCCTTAAAAATATGCCTTAGATTCCAGACACATTTTCCTTTTATATCAGAGTTGTAATGAAATTAAAACAGTCATGATCTGGACATGATATACTTAAAAAAGTAATTAAATGTAAAGGGCAAATTTAATAACGGGCGAAAATTGATTTTACCATGAAAGGGCCAAAAATTTGACTGCGCAAAAATGTCTTAGTATACAGCAATCTAAAGCTTAATATCAGCATCCTGAACATATTACAGGGGTGTGATGTCTTCTTGTATGAAGTGTCAAAGTAATATCTCAAAAAGTTAAGAAGCTATGCTCCAGACTTGTTCACATACAGAAGGACAGCACCTTACCATAAAATCCACCCCTATGGGAAGTCATTAAATATCAACTGTACCTTTCCTGAAGACACGTTTCTTTGGTTTCATTTCATTCTCCAGATCAGATGCCTTTATCCATAGTCTGACAGATGATGGTAAATGTCTTACAGCTTGGGCCACAATAGCCTTCCCCTGATCTCCCGGCTACAACATAATCATAAAAATTTGTATAATTGTTTGATGACAGTAGGTATCACACTAATTAAATTACAATATGATAATTTCATATAGCCAGGCATCCTCACTTACAATAAACCAAACTGTGTCTATAGCCAGGCATCCTCACTTACAATAAAACTGACTGTGTCCAGCCAGGGTTCCTCACTTACCATAAAACTGACTGTGTCCAGCCAGGGGTCCTCACTTCCCATAAAACTGACTGTGTCCAGCCAGACGTCCTCACTTACCATAAAACTGACTGTGTCCAGCCAGGCGTCCTCACTTACAATAAAACTGACTGTGTCCAGCCAGGCATCCTCACTTACCATAAAACTGACTGTGTCCAGTCAGGCGTCCTCATTTACAATAAAACTGACTGTGTCCAGCCAGGCATCCTCACGTACAATAAAACTGACTGTGTCCAGCCAGGCATCCTCACTTACCATAAAACTGACTGTGTCCAGCCAGACGTCCTCATTTACAATAAAACTGACTTTATATACAACTAAACACGCAAGAACAGTTTAACCTGTTTATTACTACAGTTATAATACATACAAGCTACAAGTTTGGCGTATCAGGGGCTACTCACTCTATACCAAAACGATTAAACTTACTAATAGGATATTTAAAATTTAAAGAATCTGGACTCTGAGGTGTCCCAGAGTAGCTAGCTACATGATCGAGCAAGACTCCAAAGATACAGAGAAGCAACTAGACCCTGGACGATTCCAGAGAAGCTACTAGACTCTGCGAGCGACCCTGGAGAAGCTGCATGAGAAATGGAATATTCAACGACTACGGCTAGACCCTCAACGATATGAGAGAAGCTGAATATGTTAGCTAGACCCTCAACGATATGAGAGAAGCTGAAACATACTGTCGTAAAATACTACATGTATAATATTATTATAAGATTGGGGGTAGAATTCCCCAAGAATTAAATGCCAAAATT